AGCCAGACTCACCAAAAAATATTGAGTACACAAATAAACAAAAGCAGAAGGAATAGTCACAGCAGATACCACAGAAATACAAAGAATTATTAGCAAATTCTATTAGATTATATACAAATAAATTGGACAACCTGGAAGAAATGGACAAATACCTAGAAAAAATGCAACCTCCCAAGACTGACCAAGGAAATAAACAGAAAATCTGAACAGATCAATTACCAGCAATGAAATTGAACTGATAATCAAAAAACCTCCAACAAAGAAAAGTTCAGGACCAGATAGTTTCACAGGTGAATTCTACCAAACGTCTAAAGAAGAGCTAATACTCATCCTTCTTAAGTATTACACAAAATAGAAGAGGAGGGAATACTTACAACCTGATTCAGTGAGGCTAGCATCACTCTAATATAAAAACCAGACAGACACTTCAAAAAAAATAAATTACAGACCGATATCCCTGATGAACATAGATGCAAAAATCCACAACAAAATATTATCAAACTGAATTAAAAAACACATCCAAAGGATCATCATGACCAAGTGTAATTTATTCCAGGAATGCAGGTATGGTACAATATTTGTAAATAAACCAATGTCATACACCACATTAATAAAAAGAAGGATATAAACCACATGATCATCTCAAAAGATGCTGAAAAACAATCAATAAAATTCAATACCCATACATGATAAAAACTCTCAACAAAATAGGTATAACAGGTAGGTATCTCAACATAATAAAGGTCATTCATATACAGCAAACCCACAGCTAACATCATACTTAATGGTGAAAAGCTGAAAGCTTTTCCTCTAAGATCAGGAACAAAACATGGATATCAACTCTCACCACTTATTCAACATACTACTGGAGGTCCTAGCCACTGTAATCAGACAACACAGAGATAAAAGTCATCCAAATTGGTAATGAGAAGTAAAACTCACTATTTGCAGATGACATGATAAAATATATATAACAAACCCTCCACAAAAAAACTATTAGAACTGATAACTAGATTCAGCAAAGTTGCAGGATACAAAATTAATACATAGAAATCTGTTGCATTTCTGTATATCAACAAACTAGCAGAAAGAGAAATCAGGAAAATAATTCAATTTATAGTCACATCCAGAAGAATACAATACCTAGGAATAAATCAAATCAAGGAGGTAAAAGAACTGTACTCTGAAAACTATAGACACCCATAAGAGAAATTAAAGAAGACACAAATAAATGGAAATCTATCCCACGCTCATGGATAGGAAGAATTAATATTGTCAAAATGGCCATCCTGCCTAAAGCAATTTACAGATTCAATGCAATCTCTATCAAAATATCAATGGCATTTTTTCAATAAACTAGAGCAAATAGTCCTAAAATTCATATGGAACCACAAAAGACCCTGAATAAGCCAAATCCATCCTGAGAAAGACAAAGCTGGAGGTATTGGGCTTCCTGACTTCAAGCTATACTGAAAAGCTATCATAATCAAAACAGTCTGGTACTGGCACAAGAATAGACCAATAGATAAATGGAACAGAATAGAAAGTCCAGATAAAGACCCATGGTCAATTAATATATGATAAAGGAGCCATGAACATACAAATGGGAAAAAGACATCCTCTTCAATAATGGTGCTGGAAAAACTGGACAGCTACGTGCAAGAGGATGAAACTGGATTATTGTCTAATTCCATACACAAAAGTAATCTTGAATTGGATCAAATACCTGAATTTAAGACATGAAACCAAAAAACTCTTAGAAGAAAGCAAAAATTTCTTGAACATAATCATGAGCAACTTTTCCTGGACACATCTCCTCAGGCAAGGGAAACAAAATAAAAAATAAACAAGTGGGACTATATCAAACTAAAGAGCTTTTGTAATCATAGGACACAATCAGAAAAACATGATATGGGAGAATATATTCATAAATGATTCATTTGATAAGGGATTAACATCCAAAATACATAAAGAACTCACACACCTCAACACCTCAAAAAACAAATAACCTGATTAAAAAAATGGGTGTAAGACCTTAACATATACTTCTTCAAAGAAGAAATAAAAATGGACAACAGGGACATGAAAAGATGCACCACATCACTAATCATCAGGGAAATGCAAATCAAAATCACAATGAGATATCACCTGACACCAGTTAGAATGGCCACTATCCAAAAGACAATAAATGCTAAGTATTGGTGAGGATGTGGAGAAAAGGGAACCCTACTATACTGTTGGTGGGAATGTGCATTGGTACAACTGCTGTGGAAGGCATGATGGAAGTTCCTCAAAAAACTAAAGATAGAAATACCATATGACCCAGTAATTCCACTTCTAGTTATTACTGAAAGAAAACAAAATTCTTGATTCTAAAAGATATATGTACCCCTGTTTATTGTTACATTACTACACTAGCCAATATATGGAAGCAACCAAACTGTCCATGAATAAATGAATGGATAAAGAAGAGGTGGTACATTTGCACAGTGGAATATTATTCAGCCATTGTAACAACATGGATGCATCTAGAGGGTATTAGGCTAAGTGAAATAAGCCAGGTGAAGAAAGACAAATGCCATATGATTTCACTTGTTTGTGAAATATAAAAACAAAGTAAAACAAAATGACCAAAAGAGCAAAAGACTTAGATACTGAGAAGTGAATGATAATTGTATGGGGGAGAGTGGGGAAGGGGAAGGTGACAAAAGGGCACCAAAATTCTGAATCTGAATATAAGTTCATCACAGGGATAGTAGTACAGCATGGAGAATACAGTCAATGATTCTGTAACATTCTCCTATGTTGACAAATAATTACCATACTAGTAGGGGTAAGAATTTTATAATATGGGTAACTGTTATACATGAAATCAATATAAGATTGTATATCAATGGTACTTCAAAAAATAATAAATATGAAAATAAAAAAGAAAAGAAAAATCATTTGACCTCTTTTAACTTATTTCCCCCTCTGTGCAATATAATTAATAATCCCTATCTTGCAGCCATATTTTTAAGATTATAAATATTGTACTGACAATGCTTATAATGACATACAATTCATTAATATTAGTTATGGAAGTGATATCCCCTTATATATTCAAAGACATTTTATGAAAAGAGATGTGTTTTATTCCAT